GACCAACCTGGTAGCCTTCTACGATGTTGTCTCTGGCTGGGTGGATGGGGGGAGAGCAGTGGATGTAGTCTACCTTGATTTCAGCAAGGCATTTGATACTGTCTCCCACAACATCCTTATAACAAAGCTGAGGAAGTGTGGATAGATGAGTGGACAGTGAGGTGGGTTGAGAACTGGCTGACTGGCAGAGCACAGAGGGTCGTCATTGGTGGTGCAGAGTCCGGTTGGAAGCCTGTAACCAGCAGTTTTCCTCAGGGGTCGGCACTGGGTCAGGTCTTGTTCAGCATCTTCATCAGTGACCTTGATGAGGAGATAGTGGCCACTCTGAACAAGTTCGCTGATGATATGAAGTTGGGAGGATTGGCTGACACGCCTGAAGGCTGTGCTGCCATTCAGCGAGACCTGGACAGGCTGGAGAGCTGGGCAGAAAGAAACCAGATGAGGTTTAATAGAAGCAAGTGTTGAGTCTTGCATCTAGGGAGGAACAATTGCATGCACTGGTACAGGTTGGGGGATGACCTGCTGGAGAGGGGCTCTGCAGAGAGGGACCTGGGTGTCCTGGTGGACGACAGGTTGGCCATGAGCCAGCAGTGTGCCCTTGTGGCCAAAAAGGCCAATGGCATTCTGGGGTGCATTGAAAAGAGCATGGCCAGCAGGTTGAGGGAGGTGATCCTCCCCCTCTACTCTGCCCTGGTAAGGCCTCATCTGGAGTACTGTTCTCCAGTACAAAAAAGACAGGAATCTCTTGGAAAGAGTCCAGTGGAAGGCCACAAAGCTGGTGAAGGGCCTGGAGCATCTCCCCTATGAAGAAAGGCTAAGTGAGCTGGGTCTGTTTAGCCTTGAGAAAAGAAGACTAAAAGGGGACCTGATCCAGGTCTATAAATATCTAAGGTGTGGGGGACAGAGTAGCGAGGCCAGACTCTTTTCTGCAGTGTGTGGAGACAGGACAGGGGGAAATGGCCAGCAACTGCGGCATAGGAAGTTCCACACAAATGTGCACAAGAACTTCTTTACGGTGAGGGTGACGGAGCACTGGAGCAGGCTGCCCAGGGAGGTGGTGGAGTCTCCTTCTCTGGAGATATTCAAGACCCACCTGGACACCTACTTGTGCAACGTGGTGTACAGAACCTGCTTTGGCAGGGCGGTTGGACTCAATGATCTCTGGAGGTCCCTTCCAACCCCTACAATTCTGTGATTCTGTGATTCTGTGATTCTGTTACTTCCCTGAAATGAATGTGCAGCTTTACACTGGGGTTGTAACGACCTGATGGTGGCTTTGGGGCAAAGGCATGGAATGCTCTTCAGTTCGAGAAATAGTTGAGAGACTTGTGTTGGTTCCCATCGGTTCTCAGTCAGCTTCTGGGAAGCTGCCTTGTTCTCTTGCTTACTGGAATAGATTAGAATTCATTGTAAAGTCACTGCTGTTAATTTGTCTAAACCGTATGGGTTAAAAAAAAAAAAAACAAAGAATGAAGCGTGTGTTCTCCCAGTTTCCTGTGTTTATGTTCTGTTTTCACATGCAGTCAAGGTTGTTGTCTGGTTGGTAAGCGAGCCTAACTTTCACAGAATCACAGAATGGCCAGGGTTGGAAGGGACCTCAAGGATCATGAATCTCCAGCCCCCCTGCCACATGCAGGGCCACCAACCTCCTCATTTAATGCTAGACCAGGCTGCCCAGGGCCCCATCCAACCTGGCCTTGAACACCTCCAGGGATGGACGGGGCATCCACAGCCTCTCTGGGCAGCTGTTCCAGCACCTCACCACTCTCTCTGTCAAGAACTTCCCCCTGACATCCAACCTAAATCTCCCCTCCCTCAACTTCAAACCATTTCCCCTCGTCCTGCAGTTATCTACCCTTTCAAAGAGTTGATTCCCTTCCTGTTTGTAGGCTCTTTAGGTACTGAAAGGCTGCAATGAGCTCACCCCGCAGCCTTCTTTTCTCCAGGCTGAACAAGCCCAATTCCCTCAGCCTGTCCTCATAGGGGAGGTGCTCCAGTCCCCTGATCATCTTCGTGGCCCTCCTCTGGACCCTCTCCAACAGCTCCCTGTCTTTCTTGTACTGGGGCCTCTACACTTGGATGCAGTGTTCCAGATGGGGCCTCACAAGGGGCTTTGCTGCTGCTGCTGCTGCTTAGCTCCAGGTGTGAGCACACACACAGGGACCTGGTGAGAAGGCCGCAGTGGGCAGCAGGGACTGAGCTCATGGTAGCGAGTGGTTCAGGTACAGAGCTGCTGGGTTCTGTTTGAAAAGTGTGGGAGCATGGAATGATACCAGATTGGTGTGAGGATGAGAAGAGGCCCTTGCCTGCTGAAATTCTGCTGGAGGCACCCAGACAACTGAGAAAGCTATTTTATTATCTGCAGATGCGCATAATACTGTCCATAAATAACGAGGTTTGAGTCTAATTACTTAACTTCCTTTTTTTTTTTTTTTAAGAGGTTAATTAGGGACTGTGAAAACTAGAGGAGATTGTGTAACCTAAAGCAAAACTTGATTACTTTCACTCCAACATCTTCAGAGAGCTAATCTCTCCCCCTTTCCTGGAAGCACTGTATTTGAGAGCTTTTTTATGGCTTAGCTGCTAGTAGTTGAAAGCGAGTGTCATGTGGAGTTCCAGTTTAGGGAACTGCAGATGTATCTTAGTGAGGACATCTGGGGGTTATTTTAGTTCAGCCTCCCACTCAAAGCAGGACTATTGCCAACAGTAGTTCAGGTCAGCTTTGTGTAACTGGGCATTTCAGCTCTGCAACAATACACTCTACCACCATCTCTCTGCTAGTATAGAGGGTTTTTTTTCCTAGTGTCCAGTCTGAACTTGCAGACTGGCCTGCAAGTTCAACTTACTGCCTGTACCATTTCTTTTTGTCACCTCGGGTACTTCCAGCAGCTGTAGGCAGCTATTAGATCTGCCCCATGTCTCCTCTGTCTACACTGTGCAACCCCCGTTTTCTGTAGCATGCCCTGTCAGGCCAGGTGCTGTAGGCCCTTCCCCTTCATCTTGCTGGCCCTTTGCCAGATAGTGTCCAGCTTCAGCACATCTCTTTTGACTGGAGGTCCCTCTTCTTTCTTGCACTTTCCTTCTTCTTGTATGGTAGGGATAGTTTTGTTTGGAAGGTTATGTGTGCTTTCTGGAAAAGCTACATTGGCATAACGCATATTTTACAGAGACTGTCGATGATCTCCTGCTGTAAACATTAACTGAGCTTTTGCTTAAGCGAACAAATTGGAGGCATACCAGAGGTTCATTTATCAGCTAACATCTGTAGTAGCTATGATGGTGTAGAGCTGTTGCTAAAGGAAGTAGATATTCCTATGTTTTCATTGAGGCATGAAATGAACAGAGCAGAGCTCACATTCGTAAAACAGAATGTCAGATTTATTATTGGTGAAGGAAATTGCCTTCTCAGCAATTCAAACAGTCTGATTTTTCTTGAAATTGGCTGTTTTGTTGGTACTCAAGGCCAATATTACGCCCCACTTCTCTGATAGTGTATCATACCACATTTTGAGATATCTTTATTATTTCCAAGCTGTCACATGGGATGAAATGAGCTTAAAAAGTATGTCTTGATCCTAGAACTAATTTAGGCAAGCACAGTATCTCTTGCAGGAAGGAGGATGGCAGGGCTCCAGCTGAGGTTCAGTAGGAGTTAAAGGTACTTAGTTGGGCAGGGGGTGGGCTTGCACTGTCAGCCATGCAAGGAGATGGTCGGCTCTGATACCAGCTTCATCTTGGCTAGTTACCAACTAGGCTTGGCTGGGTCCCCAGCATTCACAAAGTAATGTTATATCCATGTTGCTGTAATCACAGAACTAATCCTGGGCGTTCCTTAGCGTTCCACAAAGCTGAGCTGTTCTTTGCCCTTCAGAGACAGGACTAATGATTAGCTCCTGAGAGCAGCCTTTGGAGTTCTTGACCAATTTTAACCAAATCGAGCAGAAGAATAAATGTTTCATATCTGAAGTCCTTTGGGTAGGAGTGCAGTGCTCGTCTGTTTGGGTGGCCTGCTGCATTCACTGTTTGTCAGCACAGATTTTGCTCTTAGTCAGCTGTAGTACTTCTGTTACGAAGAGTAAGACTTGATTTTGGGTCACTTTGCTTTCCACTCAGCATTGGAATCATACCAATCCAGGAGAAAACAGCTGAATGTAATTCACCTTTGTCTCTTCACGCTTTAAAGCATGAGTGTACCAGCTGGAAGTGACAGCAGTACTCAGGTTGAGTGTCTGCTTTCTCATCAAAGGTGACTTCTAAACTGAAAGAGCAGGTTTACTAGAATGGCCCTATCATTTGGGGCAGAACTGCTACTGATAATTGGTCATAGGGAGCGTTTGTGTTTAAGGCTTTTTGGTATAGGATTTGTTTCTACAAGACTGCTGTGGTTTAGTAAGAAAGGGGATGACTCAATTTTTTGAAACAATTTGCATTGATTTGGATGTACGCTGTGCCTGAAACCTCTTGTTTCTGCAACTGTCTTGGGAGCTGCAGCTTCAAGTAATGTGGCTGCCCTTTTTTCTGTGTACTTTTACTTAGCAGTAGCACTCAACTACAGGCATAGGTATATTGTGAGTATGTGGACAAGTAATTAGTAAGTGTCATCTTGATCTGAATGTTCAAGAGAGGCACAGTAATACAGCTTACTTTTGGAATCAGCACAGGAGGATCAGTTTCTGACGCATGGTATAGATTGAACAGGAATGTGGATTGGAAGAGTGGGATCTGTGTGCTGAGTACGATTTCCAGTGACAGTGTGACATTGATACAGGGCTCAGTTAATGGTAAACACTGAAGCATCGCTTAGGATCTTTTTTCTGTCTTTGAACATGGCTGCTTGTAGAGTCTGTCCTGAAGCCAACTGACTATGAGTGGCCGTTTGGTGTATGGGTACAAGCCAATCTGTGCTACACGGTCACATTTAAACAGAAATGCTGCTGAAGGGAAACAATAAGATAATTAACTTTGTTTCTTTGCTTTTTTTTTTTTTTCTTTCCCCCCAGAGGTATGGAGAACTTGGTGGCCAGCTCCACCCTCCCTCCGCTTTTTGCAGATGAAGATGGATCTAAGGAAGGTAGTGATGTTGCTGCAACTGGGTAAGTGACTGCTTTCTTAACCATCCTGTCTTTCTTGAAAAGTTTTTTTTTTTACAGAGATTTTGGTTTTAGAGAGAATTATACAGCATGTTGGAGATGGGCTGTATCAAATGACTGTAGTGGTGCCTGCTGAAGAAATGATTTCTGGTTATGATAAATAATTCATCACTGACTTCTGTCAGTCACTGAGAAACTGATGTTTTTCATTTTTGTCAGACTAACGCTGCTTTTACAGATTGAAACAATGACAAAATTAATGGTCTTTTAGGACTGTAGAATCATAGAATCATTAAGGTTGGAAGAGACCTCTAAGATCATCTCGTCTAACTGTCAACACATCCACACTACACCATGTCCCTCAGTGCAACATCTACCAGGTGCAGTGACTGTAAGGCACCAAGCAATAATATTCAGACTTTGTAGACAGATTAAGCCCTGTAAAAATAGATATGGAGACATCTGCTTCAAATTAGGATTTACTTGTCTGGGACTTCAGACTTACTGGTCCCAAAGGGAGGCACGTGTTCCAAGTAGGTTTGTACTTAGGAGGTGTTAGTGTTGTGAATGAGCTTTCATCAACTTTCACTCCAGTGGCTACATCCCATTTTGTCTTATGAATATGGTTTAGAAAGCTTCCCTGGTAAGGAGTAACAGATAGAAAATGTGAGATGTTTTTTAAGCCACGTGAGCGATTCTGAGAAACTGTATTGTTCCATTTTCTTTTTGATACGTACAGGACGTTATGGGAGCACGGATGATTTTTCCCTTCTTGCCTCTCTAATTGTTAGTAATATGAACTCAGTCTGATATCTGAAAGTCAGGCATGGATCTCTAGCCCTTGTTTCTTCACTGGTAATTATGCTTTGATTGCTGATAAGAGTGAGTAATGAAAATATGCTATTTAAAGGCAAATTTTCCCATAGGCATTCAGTTAACAACTCTGTTCAAATATCTTGGTTTCTAAGAGCTGTATTCTGCATTAGCTGGAGCCCACTTTTTAATATTTAACATGTTTGATGTGTATGTAATTAGCTGTAGAGCTGGGTAAATGGCCAAAGTAGACTTGTAGCATACACTATTGTTGTAGTAATTTTTTGTGAATGCAACAGCACAAGGCAAAGTAACATGTAGCCTGGCTAAATAAGGAATTAGAATCTGAGAGGGGTCCCAAAATTGTGCATTCATTTGCCCACTGAGCACAGGGAGAACATCTCAGTGTTGCCCCCAAAATATGTACTTATCCTTACATGCTCACCTCCAGAACCTATTTTTTGCTTTTGTGTTGGCTTCCGTACAGCTTGCCCTTTCTTAAAAATGGTTGGTAGATACAGCTCTTGCTGTAAGATGAAATAGTTCCCATTCAGGAGTCTCTTGGGACCTAGGTTTGTTTGTGCTTTAAGTGCTCACGTGCATCAACAGGAGATTATGCTGAATGAAATTTAATCCAAAATCATACACAACCACAATCCTTTAAGTGTAGTTGTAGAGAAATACATTAAATGTAACCAGGAAGGTGCATATTAGAGAAGATTAGACTTTTTATTTCAAATTTCTTACTGTTTTTTGTGTAGATTCATGCTTTTTGATTCAAACATTGATTTGCTTGACAGCTTGTGTAATCAAAAGCCTCAGAAAAAATGAGACAAAATAACACTTCAGAAATCAAGCTGGCTTTCATAGTAACTGTGGTAACTGTAGCAGTTGTTTGGATGGAACAGCCAGTTCTTCAAAAGTGACTTTTTTGAAATCTTTTTCGTGATAGCATCAGAACAGAATATATTTGCAATGTTTTTGCATGTTTTAAAAGATTAGGAAGGAAGTGATTTAGCAATACGATGATTATTTTTTCTTTTGCTATTATGTGCTTTTTCAGATTAGCTCATTCTGAGACTTCGTTCACTGGTGGAACTTCGCAGCCTGTGAATAACCCGGATTTGGTGGAGGATTTGTCACAGGTTCAGCAGCTGCAAAATGAGTCTACTAACACTGCTGAAAACACTGAGCAGAAGCCTGAGGAGGAGGTGAGGTGAAATAATAGTGACTTGGAGTTCTGTCATTAGTTTGTCTCACGTAATCAGATTATTTTTTTGATAAGATCGCAAATTGTCATCCGTATGCCATTTTCATCTTGTGGTTCTCCCTAGTTATTTCTCTGCTGTTGCATAATGGCACGCAGCCGATGACAGCTGACAGTCGTACTGCACAGAGGGCATTTCAAGTGTCTGTCATAGCTAGTGTGGGCCCCAGAACTGGTTCTGCCTCTGCTGTTTGTGAAGACTGTATGTTCCACTGCCACCATTTATTTCCTCTGTTGCGGGGCAGAAAATTGAGACTGCTGCACTCATCTGGGAGTCTTGGAAAGCATTATGCTCGCTTCTTGAGGCTGCCTTGTGTGTATTGCCCCACACTGAGACTTGATGAGTAAATCATGAAGGAACTGAAACTTGACATGAAAGTGGTTTTGGTATTTTGATAGATGCATTTGATATTTCTCCTTGTAGTCTGTCTTCAGCTATGAAGTCCTCTTGTTTAAGGAAGTACTAACATTCCAGAAAAGGAACTAAAACTGACATGACAGCAGGAGCATGTTGATTTGGGGAGAGATTAGAAGGATTGAAATAGTTTTTTGTACATACTATAAAAAAATAGTGCTGTCCAGAGATTACTATACTGGTGATATGAAGCCAGGAGAATGAGTGATAATTATGTGATTCTTTTGAACTGTGCACCACAGGAAAATTGTAGTGTTCCTTCCTTTGAGTTTGTTCATCTCTTTATTGGAGATGGTTACTGAAAAAGAAAGCCTCAAGAGTAGGCTGGAATACAAAAACTACATACTGTTGTGTCACCCACATTTTGGGCACACAGTGCACAAAGGCCAAGGTGCAAGGGAAGGTGCAAGGCAGCTACGTGGTTTACAGTTATCAGCTAATGCAGATTCTTCTAATGTGATACAGAGGCAAGTGCTTTGGGACAGCCTGGGGGGGGGAATTGTGAGCTAGAACAAAAAAATTAAGATAAAATACTTGCAGTTGCATCAGAGAGTGATAGTTTCACGAGTTATTGCTCCTTTTAGTTTTGTAGTAAAAATTGATGCAGTTATTATCAGTGTTGTCCCACTGAACCAGGGGTGATGCACAACTTCTCATAGTCAGACGTCTTGTCTGGCTTTGCTTAGAGGAAAGTCAGAATTGCTCTAAGGTAAGACTTGAAAGTTACTGAAGAACATCCACGGCAAGGATGTATTGCAGCAATACTCCCAATAAAAGTGTTTGAGAAATGAATATTTATTCCTTTCTGTCATGGTAATTTTTTTTTCTTGCAATCTGAATTTCCTTTCATTTCCATTTTGCAGCAGCAAAGAACTAAAAGAGGAGGCTGGGCCAAAGGGAGAAAGAGGAAGAAACCTCTTAGGGACAGCAATGCCCCCAAGTCCCCCCTCACAGGGTACGTGCGATTCATGAATGAGCGCAGGGAGCAGCTCCGAGCGAAGAGGCCCGAAGTCCCTTTCCCAGAGATCACCAGGATGCTGGGCAACGAGTGGAGCAAACTTCCTCCTGAGGAGAAACGGGTACCATTCAACTCCCTTTTCCTTGTTGGAATGTGATTGTTGTTAAATGAAAATATTGTTGTTTTCAGTGAGGAGGTTAACACTGCCTTTTGATTAAGCTTGAGTTTAGGAATGTTCTTCAAAATATGGGCCACAGATCCTCCAGAGTTTACATAACAAACTCTGGTAAGGCCATGATATCTCATCCAAGTGTGGCTTGAGGAGAACTCAGTCCTCTAGATAATGGAAGAATATATTCTAAACAGTGGCAAGTGCTCTACTGAGACATTCCATTGCTGATGCAATTCATCTAAATAAACTTGTGTTGCACCTAACTCAGATACACCTGAGGGCTGCCAGCTTCCAAAGCCATCAGAAAGATGGGGCTGACATTTATTCCCTGTGACAGAGGAGAATTTGATAGGATTTCAGAACTGCTGGAAGGATTTATTTTTTTTAAATCTTAAAAACTTATCAATGTACATGGGTCGCTCTGAAAGTAATGCCTCCTGTGTGTTTATTTGGTAACTACAACAGATACAAAGAACACAATGACACTTTTTGATAGAGCAAATTCTCAGCTACAAAAGTCTTTTTCAAAATCATCACAACCACTGGCTGTGTGTTTTCATCAGTGATGAACAAGAGCCTGCATGTTGCGCTTTTACAACTCTGCTTCTCTGTGGAGGTGAGGCACTATTTCAAAGCTGCTGTGACACTGTTGCTACTGAAAATAAAACACACCACCCGCTGCATCACTCTCCTCTCCACTGTTTGGTCTTCATCTGTGTTCAACAAGCACTGATGAGTTGTCAGTTGGTGCCACTTTTTCCACATGGAGGAATTCAATTCCATACCTTTGCTTCATCTGCACTTTCATGTCAGAGGCCATTTTGTCAAACTGCTTCTCTGCTGCCATCTGTTGCATTGCAACAAAATGGAACAGAATATTGGTAGGAATGTTCAACCTCTGCTATGTTACCACCACATCTGCCTCTGATGTCGTGGGCCAACACAATAAAGCAGGTGTTACTTTTGGAGCAGCCCTTATATACAAACACCTGGTGTCTTGGATTAAGACCAATAGACCTGAAAGGGTAGGTTAGTTAAAGGAAATAGTTAAAGTGAGTAAAGTTTTGCACAGTATTTTAGTGTTGTTTACCCTGAAAGAAAATGAAGTCAGTATGCTGGATGGGATATTAGAAGCTATATATTCTAGTTTCTATATGTATTACCTTAGAAAAAGTGTGTTTTCCACCCTTCAGTCAGGTGGTCTTCTGCACTGTCTCATATGTGAATGAAGACCAAGTCAGTGCGGGGGCTGTACTCCATTCTGGAGTGGGCCCTGTTTTTGCTAATGGATGTTTTACCATCTGCACATGGTTTCCATTTGGAGATTACAGCAGCATCAAGTTGTACTGGGAATGAGCATATGAATTTACCAGGACATTTAAGCCTTCAAGAATACTGTTAGGAGAAAATAAAACTTATAGAATTTGTGATGACTGGACAAAATAGGATAGTGCAAAAACAACAGCACTTGTCTCTTTTTACTAAGTTTGAGCAGTAGAAATCATACATAGATGTTGTTCATTGATGTACTGGTTTAGCTATAATGGAAAGTGTGTGTCAAGGTAAACCATTTGATTTGGTAACAGGCCTGTGTGACAACTTTGTTGCTGACTGCTAGGGGAGGGGAAGGAAGATAATAGACATTGTGCCCTTCTACTGCTCACCTTTGCGGTACTCTTCCAGCATAAGAGACTGTTTTTTAACCTAGGAAAAATAAGGTGGAGGCCAATTCTGTGTGCTGCTTTTTAAATCCCTAACTAATGATGGGTTAAGGAAGGGCTGCTGAGCACTTACTTTCTTTCCATTTTTCCTGCCTTTTTTTTCCTTTTTTTTTTTTTTTTTAAATTAAGACAGCAAAGGCCATTGCTGCTTGAGAAACCCTGAACTCTTGTTGAAACTGAGCAACCTTATTTTTATTCTCTTACATGGGGAAATATGTTGTGAGGTGTATGAATCTGTACTAGAAAACTGTCTTTCTAACAGATAGTATAGCAGAACATGCTGTTCTAAAATGCAGGAGGAGAAATTTAACTCAGTTACTGAGCTCTTTCAGCAGTCACATTGCTGGAGATGGAAAAAAGGGATTAATGTCATATGGAAGAATTCAATGGCAAAAAGCAATGCAAGCCCAGCATCAGCACCCTAATCCAGGTCATTAACTGTTGCCTTAGCAGAGTCAATATTCCAAATGCATGGAATATATAATCGTTAAGTGAATTGCTTTGATGATTTCATGAAAATGCAAGTCATAGCATGTGACTGAGTTTGACTCTGATTCAGTGCTTCCGTTGAATTTTAAACTCCTGAAGGGGGGAGGAATTGGGAAGCAGCTATTTCTTGAAAAGATCTCACTAAATAAGAATTGTGACTACTCCTTAAATGGTATTCTGTTCATTTCTTCCCCTAAACAATTCTCTAGTTAAGCTCCTTCCATTGCGCAGATATGTGAAACATCTGCAGGCCACAAAAGAATTAATTTTCTTAGCCTAAATACAGGTGGCTTAAATTGATAAATCCTTGCAGGCTTGTGCTTTGCTGATAACCACGGTGCTTTATTCACTTCTCAGATGAGGGGTGAGGTGTGAGGTTGTAGAATGGTACTGCTTTTGTCTATTGAGAGCATGAAAACAGGTGTACTGGAACCTCAGTGTTACACTTCTGAACCTTAAATCATGATCTGTTAATAATGCAGTCTTATTAGATTGCATTTAATCCTGACCACAGACAGGCAGTTCTTAAGCTTTTATTTTATAACGTGTAGGTGTGTAATTCTGTTGAACTGAGTGGCCTAGCAGCAGGTCATCTCAACAAAACAATACAAAAAAGGGGATGGCAGAGTACAGTAATTTTATCCAGGAACTTTAACCCTTTGCATCTTACGCATTCTCATTGTTTCTTCACTCCTTTCCTGTTTGAGTCAGTGAGATGGATCAGCACTTCCTCTGACAAGTTGTTTTTCTTCCCTTCCTCCAGAAGGGGAGGAAACTCCCTGAACCTCTTGGACTTTTCTGTTTCAGCGATACCTTGATGAAGCAGATAGAGATAAGGAGCGTTACATGCGAGAACTGGAGCAGTATCAGAAGACTGAAGCCTACAAAGTCTTTAGCAGGAAAGCACAGGACAGACAAAAAGGCAAATCACACCGACAAGGTATTGATCAAGACAAAAATGTATTCCTAGCTAGAAGAAAAGATTCCCAGTTAGACATGTAGCCAGACATTTGCTTAAAGCTTGTCACTGACAAAGTGTTCTTTCTGTGGCATTGGTCTCTACTGTGTCTGAAGTGATTAGATTCATGTAGAATTAACTGATTTTGTGTGAGGATGTTCATTAAAAGCATCCACATTTATACACAAGTTCTGTGTGACTTGTTAGGAAAGTTGCACAAATTTCCTCTCTACCTGTTCTGCAACTGCTTTAACTTTTGGTAATTTTCTCAAATCTTAGGTATTCTAAAGGATTACTTTTTTCTTTTTCAGATGGAGCAAGGCAACCAGTCCATGATCATGAGGTAAACCTCTTCATTCTGTAAATTAGTATCTGCTGTGTTACAGGCTGAATGTGCAAAATTGTTACTATGGAATTTTTCACAACAGAAAAAGCTGTAACTTCCCCCATATTTTCTTAAATTGAGAACTCTGAAGTAAAATAGACACAGAGCTTGTGACCTAGATAAACCTTCCAGCATTACTCCTGTGGGCTGTTGTTTTGAGGTACTGATTTTTCTGCAGCAACATGAATGCTGTGGCTTCCTTGAGAGGAAAATAATGTAGCCAAATCATTGGGAGATCTCTCGCAAAACTCCTGCCCCCCACCCCTCCCACACACTCTTTGCATATGTAAATACTGGAAGAGAGTAATGGATGTCTGGAGATAGGGTGCCTAGAGATGGTGAGAACTATCACAAACCTGCTGGGTCTTGGCTGACTGTTGTCTCTCTCCTCTTGCAGTACTTGAGCTTTCTCTCTCCAGTTTTATTTCTAGGGCAACAGAACTTCTTTCCTGGTTTTCAGTAAATGCAAACAAAAACAACAAAAAATCCTGTTTATGCACAGCCTCTTCATTTCATTTCTAAGCAGTTGGCTGTACTGAAAGATCTGTTTTCCTTTGAGGTTTTTTTTTTTTTGCCTTGGGAAAGCAATCAAGTTGCTTTTTACTACGTTCATTACAATAGTGACAAGGATGTGCACTGCTGAGAGGCAACTACTGGTCTCATCTTCTTTAAGGAAAATAAGTTTCATTTCCAGAAAAATGCTTTGGTAGTATGTTTTTGCTGTTTTTTATTAACTCTTAAAGGCAGTACTTGCATTAATATCTAGAAGTGCACAACCCCTGCTTTTCTGATACGCATTTTTTATGCAGGTAATTAAATAGTACAAACTTCCATGTGCAAAGAATGAGTAAAAAAAAAAAAATTTAGACTGCTTTTAGAAGTATATGTTCACTCAAATCATTACTGGAAGCAAGACTAAAGCTTCATGTCTTGGTACTTTATCAGCTTTTAGTATTATCTTTCTGATTAATAGCTAGGATCTGATGAAATTATATCTTGAGACTATATAGCAACCTTAAGATCGTGGAAACCTTTCTTTTTCCCCTTACTCCACTCAGATGATCAGATTCTGGAAATCTATTGAACTCATTGTAAATATTATAGATGGAGGTGGCCTCCAAAAAGAGTTGCAGTGAACGATTCAAATAAGTAATATTAACTACAATAAGAGCAATGAGAGGATGAGGCTTAGGAAGGTAAGAATCAACTTCTAAAATGCAGGCGGAACCATGAAAAGCATGGAGAAACCTTCTCAGAATGCTCACCTGTTGGTTTGGGATAGAACGTTTGTCTTCCTTCAAATCCTAGATTCATAAACATGACATACAGCAATATATAAAACAACTATTAATTAAGATCAGCAGTGACAGAACCATTGTGATTGTTCTCCATTGTTATGCTATTGCTGCTTTTCTCAGGCTGTTTGCCTTGGGTTGTGTAGGTCTTCATGCAATCAGACATGTCTTACTAGCAAGATCTCAAAGATTTCTTCTCACTTCATGTCCATTAGACCAGTTTGAATCTGCAGACTTTGAAGATAGGCAAATGGCTGTTACAGTATGAGCACAAAGCAGAAAACATTACTCTGATGAGAACATTTATTATGTAGTATTTCTGTATCTGTACCTTACTTTGCACCTGACTGTATAAGGGAGGATGAGTTTAAACCTCCTCAAATCTCAGCTTTCTCTTTACCATACTTCACCATTTCTCTGAAATCTTTGCTTTGTTGAAAATCAACCTCAGTTTTAATAACTAGGTGAAAATGGTATCTCTAGTTGATATTCTTATTTAAGAGAAAAGATTGAAACGGTTTTGATTCTCTTTTTAATTTGGGGGGTGGCAAAATGATATGCAGCCTAAACAGGTTCTGTATTTTAGTATGAGGTAATCAGAACTTTGATTTTAATCTTGAGTGAACCTCAGAGAGGCTTAAGTGTTTCTTAGCTCTCAAGAGGATCTTCATGTTGGGTAATAAATTCTTTAATGGAAAAGCACTGATGACTTTCATTCTTGCTCTTTTGTTCAGTAGAAATTATTGTTGCCTTTCAGAAGCTGAGGAGTTTTATCTATTTATTTTATCTATTTATTTATATATCCAACTATTCCAAGGAACCCTTAGCTTATCCTGCAGGCACCCTGTCTTTTTCACAGCACCCTCTCTTCTTCCTTCTATCCTCCAGGAGCCAGTGCTGAGCCAAGACAGTACATCTTTGCATATGGGTAGCAATAATAGAGATAAATAATCTCAAACTCACAAGTGTTTTCTCCAAGTTTCAAAGCTGTCAATGTTACTTAGTGGACATAATTTCCCTAATTGTTTATCTGCCTCTGGTTTTGGTCTCCCTTCTCTTTCTGTTTTCTTGATTAAAACTGTTTCATTAGTTCCTGAACATGAGCAGTATTACTCTCTTCTCTGTAGAAAGAAGCAGACACAAAAGAAAGATCTGTTTTTGATATCCCAATATTCACAGAAGAATTTCTGAATCATAGTAAAGGTAAGATAAGCTTTTGCAAGATCCCTCTTCATGTTTTCCAGAGTTCTTGCTGTGTGCTGTCCACTTGAAGAGCCCTTGTGCTGTCCTACCTCAGCTAAATAATGACTTGGGTGTAGTTGGTTAATATTTCTGATATTACTTTACCTCTGTATAAACACAGTGGCTGCAACAGAAGTTGTTCTTGGCTTTGTATTTTGAAACTGCCCTTTCTGGAGAATGGTGCTGATGTTTGAATTCTGTTTGTCGTTATTCCAACTATTCCAAGCTGGAGCTGCTGTTCTGTTAGGATAAAGAAACACCCAAGACGTAGCATGATGATAATTCAGGCCAGTTAGCAGTATTATAATTTGTTTTCCTCGACACGTGGAAGACTCCACTGGCTCATTTTCTGTTACTGTATTTGGTTTTGGCAGTTGCATGTAGTGAGAGTTGAAGATGTTTTTGCCAGAGTTCCTGGAGGCTTTTTCTTAACTGAACAGACTTCAGATTGAGACACTATTGCTGATGATCAATAGAATTGTATTCTTGTAACTTGTTATCTTGTCTGTAGGCCTTAGTGCTGCTGCTAAGATACATCGCACTGAATGCATTTGAAATCATTCTTGCAGTCTTCCTTTCTAATCAGTTGCTCTATTCACGTGTACTCCTATGCTTTGCATGTCTTTTAATTTTTAGTGACAGATAAAATCGGTGCTATTTTAATACTTGGGTGTTATTTTGGCACTTCTTTGCACTCCTTGGTATTTTGCTTTTTTGTCTGTAAACTAAAACTGTGCAGTCTTTAATCATCAGTTGAACACTTCAGAATATCCTACTTCATTCCCTACCAGTCACAGTTGTTCTCTTGACAATGGTTTGATATTGACAGCACGTGAAGCCGAGCTGCGACAGCTGCGTAAATCCAACATGGAGTTCGAGGAGAGGAATGCTGCTCTGCAGAAACACGTTGAGAGCATGCGTACAGCAGTGGAGAAACTGGAGGTGGATGTAATACAAGAGCGTAGCCGCAACACGGTGCTGCAGCAGCATTTGGAGACCTTACGGCAAGCGCTCACAACCAGCTTTGCTGGAGTCCCACTACCAGGTAACACTTAGTTTTTCTTAGGACTCTCTGCTCAAGTTAAAATGTAATTTCTAATGTTTACATATTTACAGAATTTACAGCAAGTGGCCAGCTGTTGTAATTCTGTGGTACTGGCTATTCCAGAGTTTGTCTTCTATTAGATTCTGGAATCATCAAATGCATACTGCGGAAGGTCTATTACCTTAATTTCGGTGTTTTTTTTCTTACTACTCTTATTCTTTTATTCCTAATAAAGTCATACATTCAGTCTTTGCTCTCTTTCACTTATTTGTGGAAAAAGTTACTAGATAGACAAGATAGGACCTACGAATTACTTGATTTAAAAGAGGGGCTGTACCTGTCCTGTCAGATACCAGGAAATCTGCTTAGATGCTCTGAATGCCAACTGAAAGAGTGTTGTAATTAGCTCTGAGATCCAAACCAAAGAAAGCCCAGCTTTGTTAGTCTTGATATCCTTGGAACTACTCGCTTTGGAGTTAGGACATACTACTTGACTGAGTCTGTCACTAGAAGTGGTGCATGGCAAAAGCAGCCCTATAGCAGTTGACACGTTGCCATTCACAGTTCTAACTTTTGGAATTGCTTCAGTCATCCAAGTATTCAGTGGCTCATTTTGCTATGTTAACAATAGGTAGTGGGGAAACACCCACGATGGAAACTATTGACTCCTACATGAATAGACTGCACGGCATTATTATGGCTAACCCACAGGAGAACGAGAACCTCATAGCCACAGTCCGGGATGTGGTAAACAGACTTGAACGCTAGTGACCAGGTAAGTGCTTGCTTACTCCTAGGCTGCTTTTGCTTGGCTTCTCCTCTGTACCTCTGGCATTCGTTCTGACACTGATTCTTGTGCTGATTACTGTATTGTACGATCATATTTTTTTTTTTACTCGGTGCCGTAGGAGCAGGTTAACTTAATGAAAGTCAAATGGAGCTGAAACTATTCAACAGCACTAAAGGGCTCTTAAATTCAATTCTCCAAGGGCTTTCTATAATGGCATAATTAGCTTTTTTGTCCTGCTATTCATCGTATCTCTGTAAGGTGAATAAGGACTTTGACAGAATGCTGTAAAAAAAATGGGAAAATTATTATTTAAATTTTAGTGGTAGGGTTTTTAAATTTAGAAAATGAGCTTTTTGAATAAGGTAAATTTGAAGAATTCTTCATTCGTTATATCATCTGATCTGCTGATCACATAGGAATCCTATCTGCTTCAGAGGGTACAGGTGAACTGATATCCATTGTAAACTGAAAATGCACTACAACTACCAAGTTGGTAGCGCCTGTAGTCAAACTCTTCTGGTTGGGAAGGTTTGTATCTAAATGAAGCGCTGATGGTGCTCAGGCTTGATGTAGCATTTGCTGAGATTAATAACCGTACGGTTTATGCATAGGTTATTCCTGAGCTCATGATTTTTCACTTTTGCTTCTGTTCAGCAGCTTAGGAAATTGTAATAAGGAACAGAGTAGAAAAAATAAATCAACAAAGAAAAATCAGCCTTTCTGAATTGCCATGCTTCCTTGCGTTTCCCACACTTGCTTCCCTCCACCCCCATGTTGCGGTCATTAGCTGCCTGCCGGGTTAAACCACGCAGTTGTTTGCTCACTCTCCCCACACTTTCCCAGTGGGATTGGGAAGAGAATCAGGAAAAAAAAAAAAAAAAAAAAGTAGATTCATGTGTTGAGATAAAACTATTACCAAGATAAGGAAAAGGATAATAACTATGACTGTATCTATGTATGAATGTATAAAACAAGTGATGCACAAGCAGTTGCTCACTACCCCTGACCAATACCAAGGTAGCCTCCAAGCAGTGGAAGAGTGAGACAAACTCCCAGCCCTTCAGAACTCCTTCTGCATGATGTCAGGTGGTACAGAATATCCCTGTGGCCGGTTTGAGTCAGCTGTCCTAATTCTGTTCCCTCCCAGCTCCTTGGGCCCTTCACTGTGAGTGGCCTTGGCTCTATTAGTTGCTTAGCAGCAACTATCAACACTGTTGTGTTCTCTTAGAACCAAAACATAGCATCACACCAGTCACTCTGAAGAAAACAATTCCATCCCAGCTAAAACTACAACACCCTGTAATGCACAGCACCAGACAGCCATTAGGAATTTGCTTATTTCTATTTTACGTGCGTACATACCTGGATTCTTTGTCAGTTCAACTGCATGTTCAGAAATGCAAATAAAATGAGTGTAGACCATCTGCAAATACAGACAGAATTTTTCATCCATTCTGCTTCTGACCTTTTGTGATACTGTGTAGAACAGCTAATTACACATTCCCCATTATAGCATGCCTTAAGCTAAAAGATCTTGTCCTTCCAGAGGGTAGCCAGATGGAAAGGACTGTAGTTCTGAGGGATGATCGAGCTCCCAGCAGAATAAAGAAGTGGTTTTACTGCTGCTGTTTGTGAAGGGGAACAGCTTGTTGATCCATGTCTGGGATTTTCTGGTACCTCATCAACCTCCTCATTTTTGTATACTGTTTTCTGACTGCATTCTAAGCTCAGAAAGAGATGTGGAGAATAGGGGGAAGCTTTACAGAGTGTATAAAAGGGAAAGTAGTTTCTCATTAGTTATTAGAAGGGTGTGCCAGACCCTGAATCAATGTTTGTCCTTTAAGCACCTTGCCAGAAGAAGTATATTTCAAAGCTACAGAATCTAGACTTAGGTTTGCACGTCATGGGGATTCTTATTGCCTAAATAATGGATGTTTTCTGGTTTCCTAAAAATGCAAATATTTTCCTCTTGGTTAAGCTGGATTTAGTTTTAATTGGTTTGTGGAAAAAAAAAAATTATTGCTTCGGAATCCTTCTTCTGACTTTATAATTAAAAAGTAAAACTGCATTCCTCTTTCCCCCTCCCCGATACTTTCCTTACTTTCAGCAGCAAAACACTGAGGCAATTAAAACTGTGATTAATAATCACCTAGTTTCATTATACAAATCTATGCATGTAACTCATTAAGGTGGTCTACTAATTCATGGGCTATCACACTGATGCTCACTTGGCAGTTATTTTGTGACAAAATCTTAGAAGAGAAGAGGGTTGGCCATTAGGGATGCAAACCCAGAAGAAAAGTAGGTCTTCTACACAAGAGAGGAGAAGCTGTGAAAGATTCAGCTGCCATCTGATAGATTGTAACAGCAGACTGTCGTCATTATCCCTTCGCATATAAATTATGTTAATTCTTCTAAATGTCATCTCTATCAACCAAATGCTCTGATGGAGGTTGAGACACATTACAAATCAATTTCATGGAAAAAAATACCTTCATGATGATAGTCTTTGAAAAACTATGCTTTACAGAAGGAGATGGCTTTTTTTGGTGGCTCAGGTGCTTTTCTTAGTGACTTTTTGACTATGCGTGTGACTGTTGTTGCTTTTCTGTACTGCATGATGAAGATGCATTTTCTGTGCAAGCAGTATATGGGAGGGGAAGAGGAAGCTTTTCTTATTCAGCACTGTTCTTTAGTGGAAGCCGGAATTCACAGTTACAAAAACAGGAGGAATTCTGATATTGTTCTCTCTGTTGGCTTCTGTGCAGTACTTCTTAATATTGTGCTTTCAGATGTATCATCCAAAAATAATGCCACCGTGTCCTGTTCAATCCAGCTTGTAGTCTTGTAACACTTATTTTTCTGTTTCATCTGCAGGTCTCGTGATCCGGGGATACTTGACAAAATTTCTTTGGCCAGTGTGGAATATGAAGCCATGAGGGAAAGACTAGGGGTGGGAGGCAGAACTGCAGGTTTGTCCTGGTCCCTGCCTTTGTGGTTTGTCAGTGGGACAAACAGATGCATTAAAAGGTCTTAAGAAGCCACGGATATCACCCACTAAACATTTTGGAACTGTCCTCTATGTAAACCCTTAAATGCATGCAACTTCTGTGCAATCTTCAGTTTCGTATTAATTCTGCTAGATGTGAGGGTGCATATGTTCTGTGGAATTGCTGACTATGGAGATGAAACCTCTGTGAAATGAAGTCAGCTTGTGTGTTGTAGTAATAACTTGTGTTATACTGCTTCATGTCTTCTAGTGTCTTTCAGTTTGTTTTCATGTTTATCTTGCGAAATTACCTTCCTCCATTTTAGTTTTCTTTTCATCTTTTTATCTGATCCTTTCAGTACTGGATAGCAGCGCTTGTGTTCTTCACTACAGTGGGCAGTCTTCCTTGGTGCACTGGCTTGTCTTCTCCTGCCTGTCATGTTTGCATAAGCTAATCTTCAGCAGAACTCTGTTTTCTGTGTTAGCCTGCAACTTCAACAGTATGAGTTTGCTTGAGACTGGCTGCGATTGGTATTTTGTGACTTGATTCTACCAGGAGAGGGACTTCTTCCTTTCCCTGCAGCACCTGCCTTGCACACAGCAACCTGCCCTTCTGCGCAGACCTGCTGTAATCTCTTGAAAACATTTGGGAGGAATGCTTTACTGCAACACAGATCAGAGATAGTCAAGGTAGAAAGTGAAATGTTAGCTTTTCACAATTGGCTGGGAAAATAGAAATCTCCATTTTAGGCTGCCATAAAACACAGTTTGCCTTTCCTCTGCTACGTTGCTCGCTCTAATTTAGTTGTCTGCTTACTTTCGAAGAGAATGATCCCACAGTGAGGGTAGTATTCTATATAAAGATAAATGGGCAGGGGAATTGTGTTTTCTTCTGCCCTTCTGAAATTGGTGCTGGAAAGCAGTGTGCCTGGAAGCAGCACATGTATTTTTGCATGAATTATTATTGCAGAGAAGGTTATTGGCAGCTGGTATTCTACGTTACAGCACATAAGTGCTTTTTGACTTTTGTAAAGTAAGTCTGTGCAGTCTGTGAAGCCTATATCATTCAGCATATATTATGTTCCTGTGTGACCTAAGCGACCTTTTATTTGCATAAGGTAGAACTTGGCACACTAGAGACTAATTTTTCTGAGCTACAGCTGCACCTCTTGTCCAAGATGGCACCTACTGTCTGCACTAACTTATGCAATTCGTTTGCTGTCCTTTGATTCCTGTCATATTTTGAATTCAGACTGTGGTTAAGCACCTGTTGGACATATGTGAACTTAATGGTAATGATGGAAATGTGCTTTCTTCCACGTGACAATCTTGCTCCTCCTTCAGAAATCTTTCAGGTTTTCTGTGTTATGAATTAGAGATTGCTTTTGTTACTTGAGTGCATTGCAGTTGGGATTGCTTTCGTGTATGTATAAGGCAAGTATTTGAAGATTAAACAGCAGTTTCTTTTTTCCCACGTGACGTACACAGACTTCATGCTTGCCTGAAGCCATCTCCAGGTCATCATCTTGTATGTCAGGTCTCCGCTTTCTCATGGACTTCCTGCTGTAGCCAAGCAGCAAGGATTCTCGTATGTATTTCAAGTCTTCCCTTATGGAGGAAACTCCTTTCTCTTGTCTTCAAGCTCACTATCAAGACTTCATGAAAAAGAACCTTGATTTGCTGAATTGACCTCCATTATTTTCTGTAATGGATGAGACCAACTGATATTGACATGAAATTTTTAGTGGACTCTATGACAAATGTTGCATGGGGAAGAAATCCTATGGATTGATGTCTTCAGAAGACACTCATACCTTCCTCTCCTTTGCATGTCCGGATTTGTAGCATTAGTGATGTTCTGCTTGGATTTAATTGTGGCCAAAATGGACTGCATAGCAAAAAGTCGATTCATGAAATTCTAAAGTTGTCTGTGGCATCTGACCTGATATATCCCATAAAGATTCCTGAAATTGTTCTGTAGTGTGATAGAAGGATGCACTTCCAGCCTATGAATGTCACATTCCATAAATAAGGTATGGGTGGCTGCAGGCTGCCCTGCTTACATAAGTTCAATACAACCATCAGTTTGTGGCATACTGCTAATACATCATTCTGTTGAGTAGCATGTAAGCAATCCAGGATAGGAGATTAAAAATTAGATTTTTTTACTGGAAGTTGACAAACTGATTTTCCCACAAGGAAGGAGGGGCAGTGTTATACCCATCTGTGGAAAAAGTAATTTCTTGCTTACCACTGATACACCAATTAATGTTTTGTCTCATTAAGATGCTTCTTATTTACCCCGATCAACCTTGTAAAAATGGATTTTGTCTTTCCAGTGTTTCTGAATGTCACTTCAGTTTACATTTTTCAGTGTTTGCTGATGTGGAAAACAAATGAAAGTGTTGGTGTCAAGGACAGGAGCAGGATAAAATGTTTTCATCACTTGAAGAAATATTAAGAGAAATATGTGAAAACAATTAAATTACTTGGATTAACGTGTTTGGAATTGTTGAGATGCCAATTTTTTCTGTAAAATGCTTTTGTAATTAAACTTTTGGAGTCCTGTTATTTTTAAGAAGTTGATGTGCTTGTTTGACAGTTGCCTCATTAAAATCCATTCTGATTCAATTTTAACTGCTTTTCTGTGAAAGAACTATTAGGATTGCTTTTTTTTGTATGCAAAACTGTCAACTCTGTGTTAATCTTTGAGAGGAAGTAATGTTAGGGATGTTCCTTCCCTCTTTTCTTCCCAAATGTATCCCCCTCTGAAACAAGGACAGGAGCTGGTTGTTTGTAGTGATGGGAACTTTGGTGATTGTGTACAAATAAACATCAGGGTACTTCCTGTCAGCTTTCGCCCCCAACTTGAGCAACTTAAAAACTGTCATCCCTTTTTTGACATCCTTGTCCTCCTTTGACCTCCCTAATTTTTCACCACTGGATTTGTTTTCTCTTCCTTTAAGAACCTTCTGCACCATACAAGTCACCTCCCAGCTGATTTTCTTTTCCCCTGCTAGATTTTGTCACAGAGCCAAACTGTAGCCTTGTGCAGACAATTGTGAGAACAGCCCTGAGCACACATCCTTGTGGGAGGAGTTCAGATGATTTCTGCCTGCACTGCTGCACCTTCTGAGGTTGCAGTAGTGTAAGCAACCGTGTCTTTGTGCTGCTTCTGTGGTCACATCATGTTATTTCTACTGACCAATGAATGCCTGGTATGTCTGCATGCCAGCATGCTTGATTTGAGTGAAACTTCTGCTTTGTTAGAACTGACAAACAGCATATTTAGGTTTACCTTTTTTGGAGACATTGTAAAACACAAATTCTGAAATTATAAACATAGCAAAACTTGAAAAAAGATCTAGTTCCTTTCTAAGCTTTGCTGCTGTATGTGGCATTGGGAGCAGATGGTAGCCAATCATGTTCAATTTATGACAAGATGGTCCTCATATAGTCTTAATTTAAGACAAGACAACATTCCTACTGTTTTTCTTCTGTTTGTAATTCCTCTTTACTCTGTTGTCTTTCAAGTGACTCGTAGCTAATAATCATGTAAGGGAAGTGATGTGGATTTGAGAGCTTTGAGTTCTTTTAAGAGGAAAAAATAACTCCCTTTTCCTCAGGCATATTCCAGCTAATGATGGATTTTGAGGTTGAAATGAGTTGGTTGCTTGTTTTGGTTGGTTGGGTGTTTTGGGATGGGTTTTTTGTTTGTTTTTGTTTTTCAGTTGCTCCAGTTTAGTTGCATCCTTCAGACCCATCCTTCACTTCTCCCATAGGGAATTCTGCTCATTAACAAGAAATAGTTTTTGCTTGTTCTTACTCACTGCTTCTATGATTGACGTTTTTCTAGTGTTTAGAATGTCTTGGTTATATGCAAGATCTGTCATCCTAATTGCAAAATCAGTGGACTCTGTATTGTACCACACATACCATTGTATGTGAAAATCTATCCACATCCATTGTGCAATGCAAGGACCAATGTTTCTAAATCCGACGTATGGGTTATAATAATAAACCTACCATTCTTAGGCTGTGGGCTTTTGATTCTTATCATTTGATGGGTAGGTGCTGATGGTTCGTGTGTCTGAAGATAAGAAACTGGCGTTTGGGAGATTTAGACAAGTGAAGGCTTGAAGCTTATGGCTAGCTGAGCAGCTGGGCTCTTACTGCTGTGAACTGATATATGGAGACCAGTACAGTGCAAGTTTTTGAATGTATGCCAGGTTTTTGAACAACTGCACCAAAGTAATGACAAGCTAATGCAGCTAGTATGTTTTCAAACACATTTTTGGATGGAAGCAGGAAGGAAAGGTGACTGTACAAATCAGACTAGATATATAAAACCATGTAGCTTCAAACTCTAACCTGCAACTGAGTGAAAAAAAGTGTGATTCTGATGGCTTCTGTCACTGAACTATGGCTAGTTTGCAGTCTTTGTTTCAAACTGTGCTGGGAGGGATATGGGCTGAATAGTCTATTCTGTCATTTTTCAGCTTGGACTTATGTTTTGCCCCGGTATAAAGACAAATGCAATATGGGTTTATCATGTTTGAGTCTATTTGTAGCTACAGGACAGCATCAGGCAACTCTAGTTGTAAAAATCAGTGTTCAGTTTAGGCTATGTAAACTTCATTTGCATATGTATCATACAGAGTTAAACTTAATGCTGAAATGTAGTAATTTCTGTTAATTACTTAATGAAGTGGTGAAATAATATTTGAAAATATTTGAAGTAATATTCATGGGGAAGTAGAGGAACACTGTAGAAGGGACTGTTTTTTCTAGTTGAGTATGGCTTTAGGTCCTGATCCTGAAGTGCTTAGGCATGAGGTCAACTTTCTTCTTGTGCATGGTTCCACTGAGTTGGCTGGGCTTACCCTCCTGAAAACAATGACTCTCCAAATTGCTTGGTATGTCATAGTTATAGACTGGAACAGAAAGAAAATTGAAAGCCTCTCAAAATTTCTGTAAAGACTTATTCAATGAGAAAAAGTCTAAAAAAATACTGAAAATAGTGTTAATTCAGTAATAGAATTTGAAGTTGTTGTACATTGCTAACCAGGTGCGTTGTTGTATTTAGAATCTTCCTTCATAGAATCCTAGAATGGCCTGGGTTGAAAAAGACCATGATGATCATCTGGTTCCAACCCCCTGCTATGTGCAGGGTTGCCAACCAGCAGACCAGGCTGCCCAGAGCCACATCCAGCCTGGCCTTGAATGCCTCCAGGGATGGGGCACCTTCATTTCCTTCATGCTGTGTCTTTATATCCTGGTTTGTCATCAGGCATACAAGTGTATGTAAATAATTCACTGCTATCAGAAACTGTTCCACATAGCAAAACTTCTGCCCTAGCTTGTGTATTCTTGGGGAACAGAACACAAATAGTACAGAGGTTTATGAATAGACCTGCTGGAGCTGACAGCCATTCCAGTGGTGACATGGGACAGGTTATTTTTGCAACAGCAGTTGTTTTAGAGATAATGAAAATACAAGATTCTCTGAGAAGTGTTTTTCTCCAATTTGCTGTATGTTTTCTCCAATTTGCATGGCAGGTTGCTGCCCAACAGAAGAATCTGCCATTGCATCTTCTTAACCACGCAGAAAGCTTTGATTAAAGAGTTGAGAAGTTCTGTGGTTATAATAAACAGGGAACCTCGATTCTCCTGCTGATACATGGAAAAGATTCCAGCTGATCACAAGCACTACAATATAAACTGTAGGAAAAGAAGTAAAAGCAATCATAAAAGACATAAGCATGGTGCTCTTCCAGGCTTACTAACGTGCGTATGTTTAATGTGAATGTCATAAGAGCAAATATTTTGATGGTTTGTTAGAATTCCTTCCCAATGTGCATATTTGGTTAGGTCTAGTAAAAGAATTGTTACTGATTTTTTAATTTATTTTAAATACTTACAAACAAGGAGTTCTGCCTGCCAGAATTCTTGTTTGCTACATATTGGTTTGACTTCCTTGAGCTGAGTAGAAGAATTATACATGCGTAAGCTGAATAGCTGGCTGTCTGGGAATTGGTAAGAGGTATAGTTTTCAGTCTGGAGTAAAAGTACCATGGGATTCCTCTATCTCATATGGGCAGTTATAGTTTTATTAAATCTGCTCTAGTGTTAGTCACTAGAAAGAATTCCCTCATCTAATTTACTTGAAATAATATTGCTTAAGCCCAGGACGCTTGCAGAGAAATCCCAAGCTGAAATTCTAGGTCTATAAACATACCATTTCAACCCCTCACCTTTCAAAATGAATGTTAACAACTGTATTAGTGTTGTAAGTCTTCTCGGAGGAAGTTTCTTTTTTCTGGTATGGCACTTCAAATTCCTGCCTCGGTTGTTTTTGTTTCTTCAGTACTGGAGAATGAGAGGCAAACATAGTTTGGACTGGGGCAAGAGATGCAGGAAGTATCAGAAAGCACAGACCCAGCAGGATGGCTGAGTCCTGGGGAAGGGACTCCAGAAAATTAATCTAATGCCTTTCCCAGAAAGAACTGGGGCTTTTTTTTATCATCAGTGCTGCATATGCTCTGAAACAGCAGTACATCTGCTGATCAATAATCAATAGTATCAATAGTAGTATCAATAGTATCAATAATGGGAAGTGTTGGAATGTCAAAAGATTTCAGTTATTTTACAACTCTTCTATGGAAATGTTCTACTGAAGAGCATCTGCTCACATAGGTGAAATGTGGCTGTACACACGCACACAGGTTTCAAACACGTGCTATGAACTTAACAAGCAGAAGGAAAGGGTATCATATGTCTTGACAAAGAGTGACTAGGAATTCTCTTCCACCTTGCCCTCTTAACAATCTGTTGCTGTTAAAGGGGTCTTTGTAGGATAAGTGGGCATAAGAGAATAAAATTATATAATTTGCGTTCATTCTTGAGGTCATTTACCTACTGCAGTGCAGAAATGGCTCAGTCTTAGGCTTGGTAAGTTTGGATTTGGACATGCAGATTCCACGCATTCTTGAAGTGGTTTTGAAAGAAAAAAGTAGGAAATGTGAAAACAGAACTCTAGCTGCAGCCTAGTTTCAGAATTTCAGTTATCTGGAAATGCACGTTTACCACGTCTGAAAGAGCTATCCACATAAGGAGAAGAACCCATTTTCTACTGGGGGAAGCAGTGCCCTCTAATGATAATTCTCGGTATCTTAAAATGAGTGAAAAAAACAGCTTACGGAATCCAAAGCCAGAGAGCTTCTGTATGTCAATTCCCTGGTTTTGTTCTGGATGAATGGTAGTTTCTTTAACTGTTTGTTTGTTTGTTGTATGGGGTTGCATAGTCCTTTTCCTACTATGCTTTGAGAGCAGGGTAGAAGCAGGACAGAGCGCATTCATGTGTGACAAGGAAATTCTGGTATGGCAAATAAAACATTACAGGTCTTTGAAATTGTCATTCTTACAGCAAGGAAGGATTGTGATAAAGGTTTCCAGTTGGCTAAAGCTGATGCTGTGTGTTGGCTGATATGTTAAATATGCACACTTGGGTCCTCTTGCTCCCTAACCGGCAGGAGCTGTGAATACGTAAATCCATGTACTGGAAGCTTTGCAACTGCTGATATTTACATAGTTTTGTCTCTGTAGAGCTGGCTTTTGTTGGGGGAGCCTGCAGTAGCCTCATACTTGAAGAGTACTGCCAGAACTCAGGAGCTAGAGCATATACAACATGGTGATAGCTGCTTCGTGAAGATCTTACTGCAGCTAAGAACACCTGTGCATTTGTGAGCTTCGCTGGCTCATCAGAGTAGTAGAAAACTACCCAAACTTTCTCTTACTGAACGTTTTCTGATCTTTAATGAATTAGATGAGCTCATTTAGGGGTCCGACAAGCACTGGAGTTCATGCAAGATCAGAGAAGAACGAAGAGGGATTCAGTAACTCCTGGGTGGTATCTTGCTTTCACTTCGTACAGTTTCATGAAACTGTACAATGAAATAATGCAGGAGCACCAACTGTAGAGAACCATCTCCTTTTTAAAATCCGAAGTTGTCATTAAGTGTATGACTACGTAAGTCAATCCAACTCCTGATTTCCGTGCTGGTGCTCTTATCTGTATGTTTTCTTCTCCTTTCTTTGTGTTAAATTGTTCCCACTTAGAACAAGTTAAAACTGACTAAGCTTTTTTCATGAACATCTCTAGAGAACTACTGAATTTGGAAGGGACCCACAACTACTGTAGTCAAGAAAACGTTTAGAAAAGGCAAGACTATGGAAATAAACATTTTAAGTTATCTTGTTTTCTGTGAAATGAAGCAACCAACCCAACAACAGTGCTGTACTCTCTGGTGCCAGTTTTGAAGCCGAGCTGAGATACTGACAAAATGAACAGAAGGTATGAAATCAAAATTGCTTTGGGGCATGGGTGGATGGGTTTGGAAGCAAGATCATGTTACTGATAAGAGGAAATAACAAATTCCTGGCTTTCTCCATTGGGGTTCTTTCTGTGTGTTCAAATGTAGGAAGAATGTTTATAGCAGAATGTTGTTCTGATTAAGCATAATTCAAAGAATGTGGACTTTCTTACCTTCTAGAAATTTTGGAATGGAATTCAGTCCCATGCAATTCAGTTTTTGCTTCTTCCCTTGCCTCAGTAGAACTGGTGTATGTTATTCATTGGCTAGTTTGTATAGGGGTAGCTTAATGTGGGTACATCCCTATCCTGAATTGCAAGTCTGTTGTATTTAATTATGTGTTAACTCAGTTTATTCTTTGAGATTTGTGCAGTAATTGTATTGCCTGCAAAGGAACAGTCTGAAGCTGGGTGAAGTATAACATACTTGCTGAGTTTTGCAATGATGCCTGGCCATGCTTGCCTCGTTCTTGTGTTCTTATATTCTCATCACAGCTCCTCCATCTTGTTTTCAGATAGTCTTCCTTTGTGTTTGAAGAAATCTTCCTTTTTTTAGGAAGCAGTTCTGCGTCTACTTGGTCTGGCCTGTTTCCAATCCAGTATCCCATCCTGGACTACAACCCCTTCATTCCTGTGGGTACCAGAGGCAGGATTTGGTCTCTACACTTTCCAAGTCTCATTTAATCTTTGTCCATTCTCAGCCCTCTGTCCTGGACTCCCTGTGTCTCTTTGCTGCTGGAATTTGCTCTTTTACGCACATGGTGTCATTAATTTGGTGCTTTCTTTGTCTCTCTGAATCACTTTGACATTATGTAAACTTCCTGTTTTCATACAACTCATAAATGGCTGCAGAAGAAATTCTGAGGTCCTTCTTAGGAAGTAACTGTTACATAGGCAGCTTTGGTTCAGTACCCACCAGTGGCACTAACTGAAAGTATCACACTGCAGTTCTTGAACAATTGATACCTGCGTGTTTGATTATCAGTTAAACTGTGGTATAGACTACAGTTCACCAGCTTACCACAGACAGTTCTTGGTTTGTACCATCAGCCATGCCTCACCATATTCTGTTAGCTTATGATCAAAGTAAGGTCATGATGTTCCTGTAGTAGTGTGTGTGTGTAAAAATTCAGTCCTATTAAAAAAAAAAAGTGTTAAATGCTTCTGGTAGTACAGACAAGAATAAGAACAAAGGTGATTTCTGAAATCTGTTTTACTAGTAGGTCTCTTTGGTAGCCGAGTTCAACAGACTTGTAGCAGAACTCAGCTCTAACAATGTTATGAAAACGTGAATCACAGCTCTAGACAATGACAGCATTAAAGAAATGCTAAAACAACAGTGGAATGGAGGGGAAAGAGAATACAAAGAACAAAATTTAACTTAAAATTGACCATGTGTGCAGTGTGACAGACTGTGCTTAGATGGAGAAACTGTATGAGGGGAAAAAAGTATAGATCAACATCAAAAGTATTGTCTTCTTGCACAGGTGGTCTTACAACTTCCTTGTGGTTAAAAACTCAGACAGTAGTTTCATAGCTTACTAGCCAGCGTGTGTTTAATGTGGATTTGATGAGCAGCGTGATTTCTGTTGAACTTGCCCAAATTAATTTTTTTTTTTTAATTCAGATTACAGAATACACACAGTACTGTCTTCACCAAGAGCTCTTCTGGGACTTACTTATGTCCTGAACTAATATGAAGGGTGAGATCTATTTGTTTATGCTGTCATGTAGTTTTGCCATTCTTGATCCACTAGTAGACACTTCACAACTAGAT